AAGGACAATATTCTAGCTGCCGAAAAGTCCTAACCTTCATGTTAGGTACCACTTCAGGGTTGCAATGTTCCTAGTTGGACAGAGGCAATCACGGTGGGAAATGTACTCTTCAATCCTTGGAGGGGTAGGCCCTCCAAACCTCTATAGAGAAAGAAAGCAAGTGTTGCGGAGAGTCCGAACCTTCTTACTTGCCGTCAGAAGTTGAAACCAATGAGGCTGTTCAAGAGATAGGGACCAGTCCTCCTACTGTGGGATAGCCCTATAGGATACTGCCAATGATGTTGGGCAGTGACTGACAAAGCTAGAGAAGGAGTGAGTAGTAATAAGGGCATATGCGTCTTCCAATCAATCCTCAAATGTATGCATTGATAAGAGGAAGAAACGGGGACGTAGAGACTGAGGATCTAAAGAACAAAAGAATACAAAAATTAATAACATGAATTTATAGGAGTATCCTATACACAAATTATCTGAAACCAGATAGGTGACAAGAACCGGATGGTTACATATAGTACTTGTTCTGAAAGTATGACAACTTAGTCGATGTCCTAAGAACTGGGTGGTTACATATAGTACTTGTTCTGAAAGTATGACAACTTAGTTGATATCCCTTAGATTGTGGGGGCCTAGTCATTTATAGACACATGTAAACATATTGCTAGACCCCTTGAAAATCGTTAGTACTAGAGATGATCCTCTCTCTAACGAAGGTGGAAGAGAATCAGTGGACAATATCACAGTCCACCATCCACACTTCATGCAGGAGAATGAATCTGAGTGCTGCAATCTGCACTTGGAAGTAAACTAACATCTCTGATAATATTATATTCAGATTATTTGGGTGTCCTAGTGGTCGTTTCATAGGGTGGATTGCAAATGGCAGGACAATGACCTGCATAGATGGAGTCGCCAAACGATTCGTCCTCTTTCCTGTGATGTCCAGATCATTAATAACCCAATCATCTATCTTACCATCCCTGTCTTACAACTGTCCCTGACTCTGTACCTGCCTGAAGAAGGTGCATGCTGCCCCCAACCATAGCTGAAGACATCAACGACAAGCCCTGGAGCTGTGGAGCTGTATATTCCGAACTTTAAACCAGGGAGAAGGCTTGCAATTACATCAACGATTGGAGTGAACAAACGGCTTTCTCACGGGACTTTCAAAGCTAAGGGGGAAGGTATGCGAGGATTTAGTTCCGCGGCAGTGTCTGAAAGTGCCGTGCCCGCCCTAAGTGAAGGCGGGCCTGCAAATATGTGCCAATGCCTCTGTTTATAGGGCTCTGAGACCAGGCTGAGGGGCCCAAGCAGAGCCTGTTGTAAACCCCATGTGGGCATGGATCTTCGACGAGGCCTTGTTACGAGTTGGCTCCTTGGCATGCCCTGTAGGGCCCTATCAGCAAGCATGAGCCCGCCCTAAGTGAAGGCGGGCCCCTGAAATTTTCGTCAAATTTGGCAAAGTTGGTGGGCACCAGACAGTTGTCATGCGCCAGTTGGTTACATTCTCCATACTCGTGAGAATCAGAATTCGTGAGCCTTCTACAGGGAGAACCTCACGTTTACTTCTGGGTGGTTGGGCAGGCCTAACCAATTCAGTCCCAGGCCACTGTCTGAATGGGCCTGGGCACAGAAGCTACTGGAAACACACGAGGCCCCGCCACACAGCAAACGGGGCGAGCACTTTCCATAAAGGAAAGAGCTTGTCACTGGTCGGACATTCAGGCACCAGGCAGTGCATGCGGCAGCGCTTCTTGAGCGTGCGCTCGCTGGCTGTGCGCTGGGCACTAGCGCTAGTTGCCAGGCAGTGCGCACAGGCGCTGGAAGAAGGCAGGGCGCTGCTGAGGGCAGCGCCATAGCCAGGGCTTGGCTTGGACAGCCAGTGGAGGTGGTGGTCGTCTTAGTGCATGAGGGAGAAGACGTGGGAGGAAGACAAGGATAGGGAGAGAGTGACAGAGATGAGGATGATGATGCCAGGGGGCATACCTTGTATTGGCGATGGTCTGCATTGGTCGACATCTTCAAATACTTCGGTGGCTGCTGACGTCAGCAGTTGCATTGTCAATTCGTAGGCAGGAAGTAGCTGTGTTGGGAGTAGCCTGGGCGCTGAGCGCCAAATAGGGAGAGAGGGCCTGGATACATATGTTGGTGGGGACGAGAGCAAGCTGTCATTGACATTCGGTTTCAGTGTTTCGATTCTCCATTGGTGTATTATTGGGGCAATGCTGCTTTCTGGACACTGTGGGACTTTCTTGCTTTCAATGTGATTGTGCTATCTGGATTCTGTCATCTCGATATCTCTCATTTTCCTTGCAGTTGTAAGCACTTCGATTCTGGATGGCTCAGTATAACTGCCGACCCATCACGAACGAAAAGTAGGCTGGTCTCTCAAAATTGTCCACATGATTTTGAACTTCTATTTTTCCTCTTCTTCTTCTTCTTCTTCTTCTTCTTCTTCTCTTTTTTTTTTGGACCATTTGTCAATTTATGCATGTCATACTTGCACAGGGGCCATACTAACCTTCTCTGTATCGTTCCAAGTGTCATTTTGATCGGGCTGAACTGAGTGCTCGAGTGTCATTTTGATCAGGCTGAATCCAGCTTAAGTCCTAGTGTCATTTTGATCACACCAAGTGCTGGTCCAAGTTGAGCACCAGCTGCACCACTGTATTCCTTGGAAGAACGGACGGTCATTATTTGCTGTATCTAGGCTGAAAGTTGGCCCAAAGAACAGGCAGGCATAATTACCGTACGTCCTACTGGGGTGAGGACGGTCGTGACTAGTGATTATGTCATGTTGATCAGACTACGGTCCAACTTAATAGTGACTGCTATTTTGTCATGTTGATCAGATGGTGTCTTTTTTTATCGAACTGAAGTAGTGATAAGCCCAGTGTCATGTTGATCAAAATCCGTATTCACATGAATAGAACACTGTTGTTATCCCTGCAACTGGATTGAAAGTTGCACCAAATGCAGCTATAATGCCCAGTCGTTCTCGCTGGGTGAAGACAGTAGTGTCACGCCGATCAAACTAAATACTGGTCTAAAGCAAAACGGTTGATGTAACGCAAATCCTAATGTCATATTATTTGCTGTATCTAGGCTGAAAGTTGGCCCAAAGAACAGGCAGGCATAATTACCGTATGTCCTACTGGGGTGAGGATGGTCGTGACTAGTGATTATGTCATGTCGATCAGACTACGGTGCCTGCAATTTGGTTCATATTGATCAGATGGTGTCTTTTTTATCGAACTGAAGTAGTGATAATCCCAGTGTCATGTTGATCAAAATCCGTATTCACATGAATAGAATACTGTTGTTATCCCTGCAACTGGATTGAAAGTTGCACCAAATGCAGCTATAATGGCCAGTCGTTCTCGTTGGGTGAAGACGGTAGTGTCACGCCGATCAAATTAAGTACTGGTCTAAAGCAAAACGGTTGATGTAACGCAAATCCTAATGTCAGTTAGATTAAACCAAGTTTTTGTCGCTATTGATTGTGTGTCGTTTTCCATGGTGGTGCAACTTTAGTGCTGTGTTCATGTGTCCCTCGGGACATGCGTTGAAATTGGAACGATTCAGAGAAGATTAGCATGGCCGGTGTGCAAGGATGGCACGCATAAATTGAGAAATTGTCCAAATTTTAAAGTGTATATTGAGTGGCATATATAGCATGGCCTGTTGATTGAATGGTATGTATAAGTACTTTGAAGGTTATTTATAAAGTAGATGTCAGTTTGACATTCACTGGGGCGGAAGTTCAGCATCCAATACTGTGGTTCGCATTTTGCAGGGGGCTGCAATGGAGAGAGTTCTGGCAGAAATTGTTCACAGGAAGCGCATGAGAGCACCGATTGACTTCGTGTTCGTAGCAGGCAAATTCCTCAATAAGGTAAGAAAAGCAACATCGATATGACTCGTTCTTCCTCCTGTCCCTCCCTCCCTCCCTTACAGGAGAGGGTAGATTTCTTCATGCACTGTTCCTTTTCTAGTCCCATGCATTTTCAACCTGTCATGAATGCGATAATCACGAGGGTGAGTCTCCCTCCCTGTCATCCAGCTCTTCCCAATTGCACTGGATAGTCGCTCCCTTCATCCCTCTCCTGTTCTGAATTGGGCGGGGTAATCCGTCCCTTGATCCCACTCCTCTTTCCAACCATGCGGGAATACAGGCAATCATCATCCCTTCGTTTGTGTACTCTCTCCTCTCTCCGTCTCATTCACTTCTTTTCCCATGCGCTATGATGCAGACTATGGTCCATTCGTGCAGCTTCTCTTCCCACGGGTAGTTATAAGCTGGACTGTTATCGGAACTTCACACACTTGCTTTTCCTCGCAACCCCTCGCTTTCCCCGTCTGGTGTTACCTCGCACAATGTGGAAGTTACCAATCAGGCTAGAAAATCGTGGAGCGTTCCACTTCCAGTTTTGGCATGCTCTCTGGTTCACTGCTCCAAGGAATTCTTACCAAGACGTCCTCCAGATCACCTGATGGCAGTCGTTGCATACCTGTCTGGTGGCCGCCCTGCTTCTAGCAGCTAGCTGCTGCTGGTGAGGGTTTCCTCTTGGGAGCTGAAACTCTGAGCATCATGGCTGCAAATGGGTGTAACATCGTCATTTCTCACTCTAAGCATCATGGCTGCAAATGGGTGTAACATCGTCATTTCTCTAGCACTTGTCCTGGCGGTCTTCCCCACGCTGATGTTAGGGGAACTGATTTCTAATTTCTGGGGAGCAGTGAAGGTGGCTGGGGTCTTGCTTGTGTAGTGGGTACCTCAACTTCTCATGGCCTGTCATTGGTGGCTTGCAGGATGAAGATCTTTACGAGTTCTTTGAGCCACGCGAGTCGTCATCATCATCTTCAGAAGAAAATGAGTGTGCAGCTCACCATCAGCCTTTCCTGAAGTTTGATAGCAGCATGAGCAGCTATATCAATAGTAATGAAGGTGGTATAAAGGCGAACCGCTATATGGAGCAGAAGGATTCTCGGAAACCATGCTTGAGAAGGTGCAGCAGCATGGGAGGAAGCCTTCGTCAGTGTCACAGTCTGAACTGCAGTTTGACGGGCAAGTACAACCCTCTCAAGGCGGGAAGGAGGAGCCATATGAAGCTGTCCCCGATGCTCAAGCGTTCCTTGTCGCGAGACGGTGCAATGTGGAACAGTGGGGATCCTGCCGAAAGCCTTTCGGATGGGGATGACCAATGCGATGGCGGGGTGGCTCTAAATCTCAGGGATGGGACATCGTTTAGCTGCTCTGTGGGTAGAAGCAGGACGCTAGCTCGGCATATGCTCGGGAGTTCTGATGATGTGGTTGGCCTTCTGAAGTTGTTTGCTGAAAGCTGTGGCAATTCGCCGAGTGATGATGTATCAGTGGGCATCCAGTGTCGGCAAGACAGGGAAGGTGATGACTCCAGCTCTTGGAACGTGGGCCAATTTCCAGTGCAGTTGTCAAGCGTTAGCGTGAACTCGGATATGAACGGTAACAGCTATTCCTTGCCACATGTGGGCTCGTTGCAGTGCTTTAGCACACCCGTAGGAAGCCCTGTCGGTGGCAGCAACTTCGGTGGTGGGGTTGTGGGGACCCCTGGGCATCCGTTCGGGCCTGTGCGAACAGCACCCCCTGGCTCTGGTGGAAAGGGTGAACCTGGTGAAAGCCCAAGGATGCAGGTCCACCTAGGGAGCGGCACACCAGGGAAACCTGGGGGATATCAGGGTGTTCCTGGGCGAGGGGTTGAGAGTCCACGGCATCATTTTGGTGGGATGTCTTCTGGCCTTTCGCATGACAGCACCCTTCACCCGTTTGGAGGTGGGGTAAGCGCACCGAATGGTGATAGGGATAGTACCAGTCCACGAATTCACTACAACAGTGCTGGTGTGCCGGAGAACCTCTACTACTCATATCATCCCTATGACAACCAGCGGGATCATCAATTTGCTTCTCTCCATGAACCCACTTTTCCTTATCCTCCCAATCGCAATGGCATGAGGTCTATGAATGGTAGCGCCATGCCGAAGCCTTGTGAACCGTATGCCTTGTGATCAGGAGGTTGAGGTTCGCGAGCGATGTTACCCTCATGGCATGGTGTGGCTTTTGCTGCTGCTCGTGCACATGCAAACTCTGGCACAGCTTGGCAATGGAAGGTCTGTCCCTGGCCATGTCTGTGTTAAGTCTTCCATGATGCATTCCTGCAGCATCCATCGTTGAGAAATAAAATAGGGCTCAGCAGCTGCCATCCACTACCGAGGATGTGGTCGTGTGTGTGTCTCACAGTGTGTGTGTTCTTTTCTTCTTTTTTTTTTTTTGTGTGTGTGTGTGTGTTTTGTGTGTGTACGTTGTATGCTGCACACACACACACACACACACACACACACACACACACACACACAAACGCACGCACACACACACACACACGCAAACAACACAAACAACACACACACACACACACACACACACACACACACACACACACGCACACGCGCTGAAGCATAGAGGGAAATGTATCGTCTTTCCTTATGTGACTTCAACTTAACGATGACTTGGAGCACACACGGCAAAAGGTAGAGAGGCTCTTAGAGGAATTTGTTTTAGGGATTTGGACCCGTGACTTCATGAGTAAACCTCATAACAACAACAATAATAGTGTTTCCTGCCAACGAGTCCATGATGCTTTTCCAGACTCCGTTGCGCCGAGGATGCAGGCTACAGGCCTTGTGCTAAGAAGAGAATTTGATGCTCTTCACTTCCCTTGTGCCCAAGATGCTGGCTACGTTCCGTGCCAAGAAGTGAATTATGCCCAGGATTCGGGGAACTTACATGCCGTGCACCCAGAAGATAATTTGTTGCTTTTCGATTCCTCGTGCCCAAGACGCTGGCTACGTTACTTGCCAAGACGTGAATTTGGCTCCGTTCCCAAGGAGGTGGTTGGTGTTCCTTATGAGCAGTTGACAAGGTCAACCTCGTGGGGGTGACGGGGGTGCATGGTAAAAACAATATAGTTGCATGTGGTATAATGCGGCCAAAGGGCGAGAAGAATGTTTATGGCATTCTTCTAGAAAACAGGTGTTGCTCATGATGGATTCTGTCGAGGAAGAGAGATCGCACAGGGGCAATAATATTTTTTTTCTTACTAGAGATTTGGGTCAACTTTTCTCCACGCTGGTTGTGTGGAAGGTGTGGGAGCAAGCGCGCGACTTCTTTGAACGATGTGATTCTCCTGGGAGGCGAGGGAGGTTTGTGCTGATCGAGATAGAGGCAGCGAATGGCAGAACTGTGCCAGTCCGCATTGCTTCGTCATTCCGTTCTTGTTTCATCACTACATTTACCTCACAGGCTGTCAATCGTCCACCACCTTCCCAGGGAACAACGATTTGTGTGTTGCCTTGGTGATTCATCGTAACCCACTCGCTCTTCTGCATGTTGCATCATATTGTATATACTTCTTAATGATCACACAATTAGAATGCTCTCATTCGTCACCCCTTCCTGAAGTCCCTGACTCAGTCGGGTTCCTCTCTCTCTCTCTCTCTCTCTCTCTCTCTCTCTCTCTCTCTCTTCTGAAGCATACCAGACAGACTGGGACTATTTTGCAGCTGGTCTGTAGCGTTTGCACAGTCGTCTGCTTCTACAGTTTTGTCGTTGTGAGTGGCAGCTTTGCCTCACATGGCAGCTGCAACTCTCACTTGTATAGCCTTATCAATGAGATTGCGGGACAAGGAAATCTCTGGTGTACAGTTTGTCTGCGTGATAGTGTTATATTCATTGTATTAGGACTTTGATAGCAGTTCGTTCTGACCGCTTAGAGTTTGATATCACTTCACCACTTGCAGTGACAGCAGGACATTAGGAAGGCATTGAGCTTACAATTGATCCAAGTCTTCGTCCATGTCTCATTTCCATAAGCCTTGCTAACTCTTCCCTGCCGTGATGGCCATCCAATGACTAGTCTCTTTTCCCTCTTGTCCATGTGCAATCCAACTGAGCATTCATAGGCAGCACTTTCGTTTTGTCATTCTTGCTGTTCTACTCTAGTTGGTGAGCAACCATTGCCGCAAAATGATGAACATGGAACTAACCTCTTCTCCTCACTCATCACACTCACTGCATTCAGTGCAGCGAGCTCATCGGGCACCTTTCCTTTCAAAGGGATGAAGGATGGTGGCGATATGTAATGAACGTCACCCTTGCTGCGACGATCACTGAGCATTCATAGGCAGCACTTTCGTTTTGTAATTCTTGCTGTTCTACTCTAGTTGGTGAGCAACCATTGCTGCAAAATGATGAACGTGGAACTAACCTCTTCTCCTCACTCATCACACTCACTGCATTCAGTGCAGCGAGCTCATCGGGCACCATTCCGTTCAAAGGGATGAAGGATGGTGGCGATATGTAATGAACGTCACCCTTGCTGCGACAATCACTGCATGTGATCTCGCAGTTGAATGGTGGTATATGAGAAGAGCACCATTCAGTTAATTCAGGCCACAGCCAGGAGCTTGAAAATCGAGGTTAGTGGGACCCCACACCCATGATGCGGGAGAGAAAGCTGGTGTGCGCCTTGCGGTAGGTAGGTGCGTGAGGGGCACCATTTGCGGTTATGGTGGTTTGTGCTATGGCCAACCCAGTTTGTCAGGTATTTTGAACTCGTGGGGCATTGCTTGTCATCCGTCTGCGAGATGTGGCAGACTCCCACTGCCTGTAAGCGCTTATTGTGCGAGGCCGATAGATTAAACACGATGGTTATTAGAGTGGGGGATGGAGAAGGTCATCATGCACACACCATGAACCTTCTTGGAGATTGTCAAGTGCACACTATGGTCGTTCTTTGCTGATTTGTGTATAGAGTCCACCTTGCCGGGAGATTGTCAAGTGCACGCTATGGACGTTCTTTGCTGATTTGTGTATAGAGTCCACCTTGCCGGCATCCCATTAGTGCACCTCATCCTTGGTTCTATCCATCTTATGTTGCACGGATATCTGTATGCATGATGATGCAGTGGTGACGAGTTAGATGCAAGGGGAGCTGGCAAGCAATCCGCATCGATTTCCACCTCACTAGAAGTTTGTGCGCTCCGGTGCACTCTCCTGGGACTTCATTCGTATTAGATCTCTCTCCCAAAGGAAGAACAATATTCAGGTCTTTGTTCCTTTTCAAACTGGTGTGCACGTGTGCACACGTCTCTCTGTGTTTTTATGAACGTGTCCGGGCATGCATGTGTGTGCATGTGTGTGTGTGTGTGTGTGTGTGAGAGAGAGAGAGAGAGAGAGGCAGGAAGACGAGAGCATCATTCATGATTTTGTCAAGGTGTTTGGTGCGGTGATTTTGGAAGTCTTCTTCACAACACTAGGATGTGAGGGAATTGTATCGTTGTGTATCATTTAAATGTGAGAGAAGATGGGTATGAGGACGTGTGGTAGGATGACAAAGGAAGTCTATCAATTTTCATGGCGAGCAGACTTCATAGTGCTGGTTTGGCATGGGTTTCACATCTCGAACTGACTATAGATAGTACAGGAAGGGTGGCTTGAGGGGCGAGGAAAGGGCGGTGGGTTATTCCGGATGATAGATTCCCATGAGGATCGTAGGCTGGATACTTGACAATTGCTTTCAGTCCTTCGTCAGCTGGAGGGATAAGATTTCTTAAGAAACAATCTGCGTTATGCTGACTATTCATTGTTGCTGGTGACGTGGAAAAAAAACAGTTGATAATATGTCAAGTTGAACTGGATTCATCATGGACGTGATGGGCCTATTTATATTCTTTTTTAGACTCTTCGGTGTTTTGCCTTGAGATTGCTAGTGGTTTAATTTGGCTTGTCCTCCCTCACTTCAATGTGTTTGCATGCTCTTCTTCTAGTGCTTGTTTTGTTTGGTTTTCCCACTTTGTTGCTGAAGCTTTTTTTCTCGTTTTTAATATTTTCCTGTATGTCGAACCTACTCCAACCTACGCGCTTTTTTCGTCTAGTCAAGAGGTAAAAAAAAAGGAGACCACTGCGCCTGTGACTGGTGCAGAGTTCTGAATTCGTGGAAATAACTGCACACTGCAGGTCCAGGGAAAGAGCAGGTGCAAACTGCGAAAAAAACAAAAACTTGCTTCCAACGGCCTGCCAGTTTAACAACTGGCAAAAATTGGAGGCACGGGTACCCCCGCAGATCATTTTTCCGAGGGCTGGGCATGGGAAACAAAAACTAGACAAGACAAGACAAAACAAAACAAAACGATAAGCAACAACAAGTGGCCGCCCGGCACGGGCGTGGAAGAAAAAAAGCATCAACGAGTGGCCACCTGATTTTGCCACTTTCGAACTTCGTACTGGGTACCCCACCCTACTCCCTGACCATCGCCGATGAGACCAGGGGCATGGAGGCGGGTTGGAAAACGACTCGTGGAGGGGCGGGGGTGGAAAAAGACTTGTGGATACCCCTTTTTGTCATGGCCGCTTCTGCACGACCGTCGTTAAAACTAGGGCTTACGCTGCAAAAATTTGGCAGTGCTTTCGCACCACAGCTGTTAAAACCAGAGCCGCTGCCGCAAAACTTCGGCATCGCTTCCGCACGACCGCCGTTAAAACCAGGTTTGTCGCCGCAAAAATTCGGCAATGCTTCCACACAACCGTTGTTAAAACCAGGGCTGCCGCCGCAAAAATTCGGCAGCGCTTTCGCACCACTGCTATTAAAACCATGGCTGCCGCCACAAAAATTTGGCAGCCGCCGTAGTCCCGCAGTGTCCTTGGCTCCGTCCCGTTGGACCAGCGCCAGCCAAAAGGGAGGGGAGAAGAATGTTCCCCGCCTTGGCTATGGCTGTCCTCCTTGTCCAGCGTTCCTTTGCTGTCCTCCAGGCTCCGCCGGCAGCGCTCCTGCCTCATCTCCAACACTCCATCAATGAGGCAAGTGTGCTGTCACACACTGACAGCTGGAGGCAAGTGTGAGGCAACTGGGGGACAGTTGCCTCTTTTGTAGAGGCTGAGGAGGGCAGCAGCAGCCTCAACTGCCTCCAGGCAAAATTCGTCATTTGTCTGGGACCGTTGATCTGAGCCAGATCAACGGATTGAGATTGTCTCACCTCAGCCACACATCTAGGGTGGCAGTTGTACTCGGGCCCAGGTTCGGTGGGGAAATGGTTGTTTCCAGCCAAGTTTCCCTCACTCACCTTCCAGTTCCCAAGCCTCTGGCCTGAGTCACATTCAGGCCAGTTGGGACTGTATCTGATGATAGCCGTGGCCGTGGCTTTTTCTTTTTCCCTTTCTCCCTTCTACCTTTGCCGTCCCCTGAAAACGGGGAGGATAGTTGTCAGGTTGGGAAAGGTAGGTCCTCGCTTTCATAGTCTCCTGTTTCCCTCCTCTGTCTCCATCCAACTCCCTCAACTTTCTGCGTGTGCACTGTGGGCCGCAAGATCTCAAGATCTCACAACTGTTTGTCCTCCTCTGTCTCCATCCAACTCCCTTAACTTTCTGCGTGTGCACTGTGGGCCGCGAGATCTCAAGATCTCACGGCTACAGTCATTAGTTTGAAGTGGAAGCCTGTGTGCTCCCACACAGTCTGCAAAGACTGTTTTTTCGTTTGTTCCCCCCCCCCCTTTTTTTTTTTTCCGTTTTTCCAACTCCTTGCACATCAACAGCCACGAATGGGGAGGGGGAACCAATTGCGCACCATGAAAGGTACCCATTATAACATTAAGACATCGGCCCATCAATCCCCTGGCTTGGTGTCAACCCCCACGGCTCGGGAAATAAGACCCTTCTTCCTATTTCCCCTACACTGCGGTTGTATAACCGGTGCACTTCTCTTTTTAGCCTACTTAGGCCCTCAATCGCGCGGCTGTTATCGAAAACTGTGAACAACAAGTCGTACCGACGACTCCCTGAATCGCGCGGCTGTTATCGGATGTCAATGAAGTCATACGTCAACGACGTCAGTTTTTAGTTGGTCCGAGTAAACTTTTGACAAACAGCAGTCTCATCAAGTCTCCTTAATTTAACCAAAAACGTTGGACAACGTCCGACATTGAAAAACCCGAGCAGACACCCTTGTAAGGGTTTCTGCTCCGACATCGGGACCACAGCGTTGCCCTGGCTTCCGAGCTCCCTCACTTTAGGAGTCATTTGCATAATTACCTTACCCATCACTTTTTCTACCCTTTGATGGCCTTCATGCCCTAGTTAGGCAGCCTTGCATGCTTCATCTAGGTGCGCCCAGTATACCAGGCTCCCTTATTCCCTTGCATGGTCGACCCTACATAACGGTCATCCCTGTAGTCGAGCATTACCCGCCCAGATGGTCTATCTGTTAGGGTCATTGGTTATGTTCGCTCCCAGTTCCCTACCCTCATTGAGCCTAATGACATATGTCTTCCCGTCATTATGTGTGTCTACCCCTAGGCTGCATTCGCCACCCTCAGAGACCATCCCACCCTGTGGTCTTGCGACACACCCTTCTTGTCACTATGTTTTGCTTTTCTAGGATATGTATGCTAGTTAGTTGCTTTCTGCTTTCACTTAGGCTGTTAGTTGTGATATTGCTGCTTTTATGACATTTTCTATCCTAGGTTGCATTGCATGGACTCAGCATGGAGCTTGCTCCGCATCCTAGACTACTCGGGTTTTCTTTTTCTTTGGTAGAGTTCCGCTTCTTGGAGGAAGCGTGCTTGTATTTCGACGATCCATCACAGGCCCAGGATCGTGTAGTGGACCTCTGGTTGGCCTATAAGACCAGCGCCTTGGCCTGTTCTCACAGGCCTGTGTTGTATTCGGGGTAGTCCAGTCCAGGCCGGTACCTCTGTCGGTACCAGCCAGTCCAGTCTTAGTCCAGTCAGTCCGCTGTGGTATACCCCAGCCAGAGTTTGTACTTGGATCATTCTACATTCGCACAGTTTGGAGTACGTGTGTTGGAATCTCGCGTGGGAGCTGCGCTGTGTCATCTTGCTCCACCCTCATCCTCCATCTCCATTTCTATCCCAAGCGGAGCACCACACCTGGTGGTCCGCCACATGCTTGCATGTGGGACTTGTCATCTGAGCTTTGTTTATGTTTGTTTCCCCCTGTTTCGTTATATTTCGCTGTTCCCTTCCTCTTTCTTTGCCTCTTTGTCTTTTGTCTCAACCTACATCCACGTGGGCGGCCTTGTACGCAGGAGGTTCTGAACAGGGGGAGTTGGAAGGAAAAAGATAGAGAAACAAATTTCTTTTTCTTGTTTTTGTTTTGTTTTCCTTTGTTTTTGCGCTCTCATATCCTTGTGAGTATTGTGACGATATATACATCATGGTCAAATGCCTCCAACGAGTTCCTTGTGGATGTGTAGCATCATGTGGTCCAGTGGACATATGAACATTTCAAGAATGGTTCACTGCAGCATCATGTATTTTCGAAAAAAAACAAAAGGAGGTCTAGGTTTTCGTTGCATTGCTCGGCCCATGAAAAAATTGAGCAGCACTCAGACTAGAGTGTATAGCTCCGTTAACGCTAATATAGTCTCAAATTTTCACGGCGGTGAGTGGTGTCGTTTTTTTTTTTTATAATGATGAGGACTTTGGTGCTTGAGAGGCAGCGGTTAAACAAGTGAACCACTTAGCCGCCGCCAGAAAATACTTGGGCATCATTGCATGCATGGTACAAATCATATACCTTGTTGTCTGCATGTCGAGGTACATCACCATTCGGAGGCTGCGAAGGAGGGAGGAGGGGAGGGGGGTTGAGGGACGAGGATGAGCACAAACCATGCATGTCCTATTGGGGGAAAGTGAGGAGAGGATGGAGGGGAGGAGAACGGAGTGGAGGAGGGAGAGTTGGCCGGTAAAGTGTAGGCAGAGAAGGAGGACAACGAACGAGGGTGTGGCGGACCCACCAGGTGTGGTGCTCCAGAGGCGGCGGCTAAACAGCAGTGAACCACTTAGTCGCCGCCAGAAAATACCTGGGCATCTTTGCATGCATGGTACTAATCATATACCTTGTTGTATACATGTCCAGGTACATCACCACTCGAAGGCTGCAAAGGAGGGAGGAGGGGAGGGGGGTCGAGGGATGAGGATGAGCACAAACCATGCATGTCCTATTGGGGGAAAGTGAGGAGAGGATGGAGGGGAGGAGAACGGAGTAAAGGAGGGAGAGTTGGCCGGTAAAGTGTAGGCAGAGAAGGAGGACAACGAACGAGGTGTGGTGCTCCGCCTGGGATAGAGACGGAGATGGAGGATGAAGGGGGAGCGAGATGGCACAGCGCAGCTCCCACGCTAGACTCCAACGCACGTACTCCAAAATGTGCTGACGTAGAATGGTCTAAGAAACAAACAAAAGCTGGGGTATACCCCAGCGGACTGACTGGACTGGACTGGACTGGCTTGTACAGACCGGCTTGGACTGGACTACCCCGAATACAACTCAGGCATGTGAGAACAGGCCAAGGGGCTGGTCTCACAGGCCAAGCAGAGGTCCGCTACACGATCCTCGATCTGTAATGGATCGCCTAGATACAAAGCACGCTTCCGCAAAGAAGCAAAACTCTACCAAGGAAAAAGAAAACCCAAGTAGTCTAGGATGCGGAGGACTGACTGGACTGGACTGGACTGGACTGGCTTGTACCGACAGAGGTATTGGCCTGGACTGACTACCCCGAATACAACTCAGGCCTGTGAGAACAGGCCAAGGGACTGGTTTCACAGGCCAAGCAGAGGTCCGCTACACGATCCTCGGTCTGTGATGGATCGCCTTGATACAAGCACGTTTCCGCCAGGAAGCGGAGGCGGAACTCTA